TGTCCCGCACACACGGTCACTATCCATCACACATGGTCCATGCCCCGCACACACGGTCACTGTTCATCACACACGGTCCCTGTCCCGCAGACACGGTCCATGCCCCGCACACACAGTCACTGTCCCACACACACAGTGTCTGTTCCACACACATGGTCACTGTCCATCACACATGGTCCGTGTCCCACACGCATGGTGTCTGCTCTGCACACACAGTTCCTGCCCCACACACACGGTGTCTGTCCATCACACACGGTGTCTGTCCCGCACACACAGTGTCTGTCCATTACACACGGTCCATGCCCCGCACACACAGTCACTGTCCCTCACACACGGTCCATGCCCCGCACACACAGTGTCTGTCCTGCACACACGGTGTCTGTCCATCACACACGGTGTCTGTCCATCACACACGGTCTATGTCCCGCACACACGGGCCGTGCCCCGCACACACACTATTTTAGGACTAGTTAGGACCCTTTGGAATATAGTGATAGAAATAATTTGTGATTAGTCAGAGAAGCCGTGGCTGCCCCATCCCTGGAAGTGTCCAAGGCCAGGTTGGACGGGGCTTGGAGCAACCTGGGCTAGTGGAAGGTGTCCCTGCCCATGGCAGGGGGTGGAAGGAGATGAGCTTTAAGGTCCCTTCCAACCCAAACCATTCTGGGATTCCATGATTTCCATCTGTATTAGCTCCTCAGGAAACGGTCCACGGCTGGGATCCCACCCCCCAGCACCTCTGCTGAGATGGGCTGTGTGAGGCAACCCAGACCCACCATCCTCCCACAGGGACTGAGCATCTGCACAGGGTTTTCAGTGCTCAGAACACATGCAGTGCCTGGGAAATGGTGACGTCCTCCCTGTTTCAGTGTGCTTGAGACAATCATCACCAGTATAAGGTGCCGGGCAAGCATGAACAAGAATAGGAAAAGTGAATTGGCATCAGCAAGGAGATCGAGTCCACTCTCACAGGACCCTAGGAAAGAAAGGCTCCACTTTATAAAACGAGTTTTCATTACACACACAGAGAACAGGGAGGTGCTTGGTCCTCCTTAACAGGAATTTCCACATTTATGACGTGTGCAGGTACTCAAAGTCCACCCCGCCTTTGTAAGAGGCGCTGCAATAACACCCCGTGTCAGGTGACATTGGCCAGAGCAGAAACCTGCACAGGTGCTGCTGGAGCACCTGAGCCCAGCCTGGAATGTTCTACCTCAGGGTCACACCCAGCTGCTGCTGGATTTCCTCCCGGAGGCGCAGCTGCAGCTCCGCGGCCCCGCGGCAGCTCAGGGCCCTGTCGCAGCACTGGAAGGTCAACCTGTAGCAGAGGCTCCTCCGCCCCGTCCCTGCCTGCTGGAAACTGTCCCTCAGCTGGATGGAAACCACCGTTTCACCTGACACCCCCCTGGCGAGGGTGTGAAAAGCAACCTCGTCGAACTGCTCCCCCTCGGGAAGCCAAAAGCTGACGTCGTGCACGTAGGAAGGGGGATAGAGGGAAAAACTCTTGAAAAGCCTCAGCTCTCCTCTAGGAAACTGCCTCAGGAACCGTGTGTCCGGTGTCCAGAGCATTCTCCAGTCGGATATTCCACAGAGCAGCATGGCCAGCAGGTCAAGGTTCAGTGAGGCAAAGACAACCACCAGCTCACTGCTTGCTAGCTCATGAGATGTCCTTATAACCCCCAGGCAGGAGACCTTCTCACAGGAGCCTGGAGGATCTGTCTCCGTGCAGATGAAGTACTGAATTTTACCAAGCTGAGACTCAAAAGCAGCAAAGTCACTTAGCTCAGTTGTTTCAGAGCTCGTTGCTTCCTGCAGGTTGATATTTGGTTTAGTGCCAGTCTGGTGAAGAGAATGTATAGTGGATGTAATGTTATTCACCAACATCTGGACACAGCTGCTCTCTGTACCCCTGTTCACTGCAGACACAACGAGCACCTCGTGAAAAACAGGCATGGAGTGAGGAGTGACACGACACTTCCTGAAAACTGGCCCAGAAAGAACACGGAGTGTCCCTGGGAGAAAGGCTCCTTCTTGCATTATTGCCTGAGCATGAGGCAGAAGGGAAGGTCTGAGGTAAAACTGCTTTGGGCTGTGACATCCTTCTGGGACATTCTTCTCTGTGCCCTGGCAAAAATCAGCACGGGAAAATAAAACTGCATTTGCTGGTCCATGAGACATTTCCTCAGGGCTTGGAGTCTCCTCTGGGCTCGGAGTGATCCAAAAGATATTGGAGGGACAAACCCCATTGAGGTGGCCTTGGAGGAGCAGGGGAAGGCAGGAGTCAGTATCCTGTAGTGGAAAGGCTTGGCTGAGCCCTGCAGCGAGCTCCTCCTTCACTGTCCGGACTGGGTGGTTTGAGTTTGGTTCCAGGAAACCCCTGGGAAAAATAAAAGTGCAAATTACAGACACCACTAAACAGATTTCCCTGGAATAGCCTTCCTGTGGTCATGATTTGAGTGCAGCAGTTCACCCAAAACATTCTTAAGCCAGTTTTCAGTAATTACCTGAACAAGCCAAGCCTCTCACCAAACGTGTTGCATGTTTTCAGGACACTGGGGTTTGTCTCCAGGTTGCAATCAAGAATTAATTGAATTTGCTAATAAAAAAGGAGCGGGGCTTACCAATCATCATATCCATTTATCTGACACCTGGTCACTCCCACTGGGAGCAGGAGAGTGTTATGGCCAAACAGAAACTAATTATAAAACTCACCTATTAATTTTATCCACAAGGACTTGTGGCACTTGAAAAGAAACCTTTTGGCTTTCCAGTTGTATCCTGCAGCTCACAGGTGTGAAACACAGGAGAGGTGTACTCCGTGTGAAAACGTGGTTCAGGGCACCCTCTACACAGAAGGATTTATCTTGGCTCCTGACAACACACAAAACCACAGCAAAGTCATTGATAATTTCTGATATGTGCCACATAATTTCTGATATGTGCCACAAGAAAATGTTACACAGGTAATCCATGTGACACCAACACACGTCTTAGTGAATCCCAGGCCTTGTTACAACCCTGCTGGGATTGCCTGCTGAGCAGATACACACACCACAGTCCTCCTGACAATTTTGACCTTTAAAATCCTAAGACAGTCTTATTTTTAGAGGGTACTTTGGCAAGAAGCTTGCATTTGAATCTTGGCTATTCTGCTTAGAGATGAAAAAGAACTGCAGCTATTTTAAGGAAATTTAAAAGGAGTTCCTCTCCAGCAAACAAGACACTAAAAGAACACACTAAAAGATACTAAAATAAATGGCCTTTATAAGAGCACAAATATCAGAATTTTGGTTTTGCCATGTGATGGTTACCTGTAACCTGTACATTTATATCCATGGATCGTCTCTGCATTAAAAGGATGAACATCACTCAAGATAAATCCAGCTCCTGCTGCCACAGCCACTATTTGCCAGCTGTTGTGCCACTCTCTCCTTGGCTGGTCTGCAGGTGTCCCACCCTGGCCATTGCAAAGAGCCACATGGATCTCTCCCTCCTCTGCCAGCACTTCTGCGGAGCTGGAAGGAAAGCCACCAACAAGAAGAACCCTGTCAGCACACCCACAAGTTTCACAGGGCCAGAAAAGCACCTGGAGCACAGCTACAAATGTGTATCACAGCAGGCAACCAGCACAGAACCATTTCTGGGTTACTCACCTATGGAAAAAGTGGGCAAGAAGCTCCCTGTTCTTCACTACCCCAGCCTTCCTCCCACAGTGGGGGAAGTTGAAGTAAATACAATCAAATTGTCTTTTTTCTGGTGAAAAGTAGTCCTTCAGCTTGGTGCAGTCCACAGAAAACACAACCTCAGCTCCTGCAACAGCAAAGAAAAAAAAAACAAGGGTGTGATGTTTATCATTAGGGAAAATTTTAGAGAAAGGTAGGAATGCAAGTCCTCTAATTGGTTTTAAAGTAGGTGAGAGCTGCCAGGCATTAGGAACACCAGGAAGCCTGGGCTCCACTTCACCTCTTGTGGAAACTTCTGAAAATACTTGAAAATAGTAGTTTCAGTGTAATTTCAGCACTATTTAAGTCTGATCAGATTTTAGGGTGTTTGATTTAGCCAAACGGGCCATTCCAATCCCTCATCCCAGACGCCTGGAGCGGCGAGGGGGATCCCAAGGGTCTGGAGCCAGGGCACGGCAGCGCGATGGCTCTGGATGGAGCCCTGGTGAGAGAGGACCGCGACAGCAAAGAGCTCAGAGACACCGCTTCCTCCTGCCCCGCTGTGCCCGGGGGTCCCACCACCCATCCCATCGCATCCCATCCCATCCCATCCCATCGCATCCCATCGCATCCCACCCGCGCACCCACCGCTCTCCCGCAGCCTGCGGATGCTCCGCGCGGCTCCCCCGCACCGGGACGCGTCCTCCTCGCTCTCGTAGCAAGTGGCCACCACGTGCGTGCCCTCGGCCCCGCAGAGAGAAGCGGCGAAGGAGAAATTGCCCTCCCCGAGCAGCAGGACGCGGCGGAGCCCCATGCCCCCGCACCGGCGGCGGCGGCGGATCGGAGCCCCCGGCGCTCGGAGCCCTCGGGACTCGGAGCCCGCGGTTCCCGGAGCCAAAGTCGCTCGCTCATGACGTGGAGCCGGTCAGCGGCCACTGCTGGTGGCGTCGGGGCATCCCCGGTGCCTTATGAGCAGCCCCGGGGGGATCCAGGGAGCTGCCGGTGCTCACCGGGATGGATGGATGGAGGGATGGATGGAGGGATGAGCCGCCGCATCCCCCCCCGCGCCTCCCCAGCTCTTGGAGGGGGCTGCGCTCTGGGAGAGCTTTCTGAGCCGCCGCGCAACAGGAAATGGGTGTTAAATAAATAAATAAGTGCGTAAATAAATAAATAAAGCCGTTACGAAGCTAAGGAATCGTAGAATCACAGAATCCTGGGACGGTTTGGGTCGGAAGGGATCTTAAAGCTCATCTCGTTCCACGGGCTGGGACAGCTTCCACTACCCCGGGTGGCTCCAACCTGTCCTTGGACGCTTCCAGGGCTGGGGCAGCCACAGCTTCTCTGAGCAACCTGTGCCAGGGCCTCACCACCCTCACAGGGAAGAATTTCTCCCCAATATCCCACCTAACCCTGCCCTGTGAGCGACGGGATACTGGGAAGGCATCGGGTCCCTGTGGCCTCGGGTAAATCACTTTCTTTGTTTCAAAGGGTGAGTGACCCAGAGAGGTTTTCACTGCTGAGACATGGAGCATAACACCTCAGAAAAATGATTACCACCCCACCTTCCCCCTCCAGGAAAGGAAAAAACCCCAAACTCATATTTAGCCATGCTAAATGTGAGTTTTCCTTTCCAGCATCCTCACTGCTTTGAAGCACCTTGCACTCCAGATTACAGGGGAAACATCAGAGAATGAAATGTTTGTGCTCAGAGCTGAAACACTGTTGGGTGTGTGGTGCAGCTAAAGGGGAGCTCCTGAATTACATCTGTGCTTTGAGATGTCAGAGATGTTTTCTGGCGTTTTCTCCCTGCTGAGCTGGGCTGCTGTGCCACCACAGAACAGGTATTTCAGGTCATTCAGGGAGTGGTATCTGCATTTCAAGTATTCCTGTCTAGCTGACCTCATCATCCCCAAAGACCTTTCACTCAAAATGCCCATTTCTTGCTCCTGCATTTGGGCCCAACAAAACCCTGGACTATAAAAAACATTTCCCTCAGGGGAAATGCACTTTCTGGATATATTCTTACTATTTCCCACTTACTTCCTCAATTATTATTTTTTTTTCATTTTTATTCTTTTAGAATTTGAACAAGAACTTCACTGGTTTCTGGGCCCCTACCCTGAGTTAGAACCTCCTTTGTGCAACCCAGCTGCTCAGTCCTGCTTCACTACAGGCCACCACATGGAAGCATTTTTATTTTGCTTGTGTCCAACACTCAGAGAAGGGACAAGAAGGATGCAGGAAAAGACTCAGAAACCAGGAGGCCTGTCTGCCCACAGTGCTACAAGGATTTCCTTCGAGCAAAAAGACCTGTCACACATGAAAGCCAAATGTAGCATCGTGTGGAAAATATTCTTCCTGCTGTTTAATCTGTGTTTTTTGTGACCTAAGTGAGTCACCACTCACCCTGTGCCTGGTCAGACAAGCCCAATTAACACCTTAACTGGGAGAGCTTACTGGTAACACCTTAACTGGGAGAGCTTACTGGAACCAGCTAATGGGAAACACCAGACCTTGGAAATGAGGGGGGATTTGAGGTATTTGACAATGACCCCACGTCACTGAGTGCTCATTTTCTTTTTCTCCCCTAAAGACACAGAATGAAGGGTAACCTCTCAGTTCAGCTGAGGTGTAAATTGATCCCTTCTCACAGAACTTCTGCCTTAGCAGGTATAAGGAACATAAAAAATAGGTCAGGTCATGACTGAGTCTGATGATCTGCGTGACAGATCTGTGGCGTTCTGTCCTTTTTGAAGATGAATTTTAGAATTCAATTCCAGTAATACAGACTTCCCTTTATGCTCATATCCCTTTGAAGGGAGGTGCTAAGCAGATGATGGTGCCTGAAAAGGACTTAGTAGTGGTTTGTATCACTCAGCAATGACGGCATAAATCAGGTCATTGCTGTAGACATCAGACCCTGTTCCTTGTTTGAAGGGCACTAACATCATAGTTTCAAAGGGATGTGATTTGCATCATGAGAGCAGGATGTTTTTCTCCTCTCAGGGGATATCTGTGTTTAACTGCAGCTCTGCAGTTTTCATCTGCAACTGCTCTGAACTGGCTGCAGCACTTGGATGCTTCTCCACAACGTGAGTCATTCTAGAGATTTAAGATACAGTCAGTTGTTATCGAATACCCACACTTCAAATGGGTTTCAATTGTCCTGAAGCTGTTTTACCAGTTTAATCTCCACTGGAGAGAAACTTTTCTGTGGCTTGTGAAACACTCTGAAATCCTCTGTGTCATAGTTTGAAACTGGCCCCCCCTCAAGAAAGAAATCCAAGAGGCAGTCCAAGACCACGTCCTTCACAGTCTGAAATTCGGCTGAAGGAAAAGACTCGTGCATTAGATGTGTGCAAAACATTAGAGAATGTAATCTGGAGTGGGATGGGTGCTTCTGGACACCAAGACAAGCTGTCCTGGCCACACCTGCCCCTCAAGCTGTAAGGAAGGATGGTACCAAACAGGTTCACCTTACACAGCTCCCCGGACCCGACACTCCGCTCGTCCTCAGCGCCCGAAACAAATAAATACAAGCTGCTTATTCATGTTTTATTCGTTAGTAAACTTACTCGGCATAAATAATAAGAGCAGCCCCTCAGCACCTGGTGCCAGGTGCCGTGGACTGGCCCCGGGGGGGGCCGTGGGTGGGCACAGCCCTACTTCCTCTGGGCGCCTGCGATGGCCGGTTTCTCCTCGCGGGTGATGGGGATGGAGCGCTCGGGGACGTCGCTCACCTTCCTGGGTGCACTCACAGTCAGCACCCCGTCCAGGGACAGGGACGAGGTGATGGTCAGAGGGTCCACGTCGTCGGGGATCCTGTATTTCCTGTTGAACTCCCTGGCGATGAAGCCGTGCTCGTCCTTTCGAAAGGAGAAGGGACAGGCACGATTAGCACCGCCCGAGTTAAAAGAGCTTTGAAAATGAGATGCCCTCTTTAAAAAGAGCCGAGTCTGGCCAAAGGGAGGCCACTCGGCCAAAGGGAGGCACTGCCCTGGCTGGGTGCGGGTGCCTGCAGGTGCCAACACTGCTGGCAGGAGGAGGGTTTGTGTTCCTCCTCTGGGCTTCACTGCACAGCTCTGGGCAAGGGGCAGCACCAGGCCTGCAGTGCCAACCACGCCAGCTCGTGAGGGTCTGCAGAGCCCCAGTGAGCTGATCTCTGTTAGAGTGCTGGATTGTGTTCTTAGCCAAAAAAAATTGCAGAAACTATACTAGGATTACAGGATTATTATTATTATTAGTAGTAGTAGTATTACTATTATTATTATTATTACTATTATTATTACTATTATTATTGTTATTGTTATTATATTGTTATTGTTATTATATTATTATTTTTATATTATTCCAATTTATTTTTATATGGATATTTTATTTTTATTATTATTTTATTTTATTATTTTGAGTATTACTGTTATTATTTTTGCTTATGTTCTTAGCAAAAAAAAAGTTGCAGAAGCTCCGTCAGGATTACATGCTATTATTATTATTATTATTATTATTATTATTATTATTATTATTATTGCAACAAACATGGGTAGAGCCCTTACCAAATCTTTGTTCACGAAGCCTAGTCATGAATTATTATTATTATTATTGTTATTATTATTATTATTGTTATTCTGATATGGCAATTCCAGCTACTTTATCATGAGTATTCCCTTCCTTCTAGCAAGGAACTGGGGACAGGAGGTAGGAGGGATATGGGGGCTGTAAAATGCTGTTTTATCCACCTTTGAACATGGCTTTGGATTTCTCTCTGCCCAGTTGGCACCCGGGTCTCCAGGGCCAGCAAGAAGTGGGATTATGAGAGCAGAACACAACCTTTAAGGGTTAGAAACCCATAGCTGGGCCTAGGAAAGGTTACACAACAGGGCAGTGCACTGGTTCCTTTTGTGGTTTGATTATTACAGCTTGTAGTCAGTGTATTGAACACCTCCCTGCATTTCTGGCCTCTCCCCAAAAAGAGGGAGGCCCAAAAATGCCCATTTCAAAGACGATTTTCCAGTTGGGTTCACAGTTCATGTAACATCAGCAATAAATGTTCACCCTCTTGCTGCCCTGGCTGGGATCAGCTGGGGGGGGTTTGCACAGAGCATCTTCCTTTGGGGTCGGCTGATAAAACAAAAAATGACAGGTATCTGAGGTGAGCAGAGGGGAGGAGTGTTTTGCAGCCTCCTCGTTTCACCGGAGGTGAGGAAGCTCCCACTGGGAGTGGCACAGTTAAATCAGAAGTACCTGGCGCTCCTCGTGCTTCCCGTGGATCTCTATCATGTCCCCGAGCACCTTCACTTTGAGCTCCTCGGGGGAGAAATGCTTCACATCGAGATTTACATAAAACTTGTCCTTGTCCAGTCGCATCTGCAAAACAAGGAGGTGACTTCAGGAAAGAGCAGGTGAGGGTTCCTGCTCTGAGAGGCTCTCAGAACACAGCAGGTCAGCACTCAGCTGGTGTCTGCACATCCACTGACCTTTATTTTGGGGGTCTGATCTGAGGGGCTTTGTCCCTGGCTGGCCTTGCATTAATGCCCATCCCTGTGGTACCTGAGATTCTCAATTTGTTAAAACCTGCTAAAACTGACCCTTGAGTTGGTGTAGTGCTGATTATGCTGTGCTTCAGTGCACAGCCAGACCCAGGTCGCTAAATCAGGGCAAACATTATGCAAAGATTAAAATAATACTTTCCCTCCTTCTGCTCAGAATAGCTCTACAAGCTACTTGTAAATAAGAGATTGACTCGTAGAACAGGCAAGTGCCTCTTGGCTCAGCCCCTGAAGCAAGCACACTCCTGCTCCTTGATCCTTTGGGTCCTGTATCTTACTGAAAACGCTGCTCTCCTCGGCAGTGATTCTTTAAAACAGGCCCCTTTTTCCTCAGCAGCCTGACATGAGCATCCCACTGCCCCTGCCCCTGTGCTGTTTGCTCCTCAGGTGGGAGTGGGATTGGAAGTTGGGCACAGCAGACTGGGAAATTGGGGAAATCAGGCTTCCTCCTGTCTTCTGTCAGCTCTTAGAGCCACCTCAGTTTGCCTCTCTTCCCATCGCTATGGCAATACTTGCTCTCAGCCACAAACGATGAGCAGAGCACGCAGAGCTTCTTGCCTAACGAAGAGCCACAAGCACAGCACCCTTTTCCCCAGCCTTCTCCTAAATAACCACCTACAAGCAGCTTCCAGGCTCTCAGCTCTCCTGGGTGTCCAGCTCCAGAGCCACCAGGGCGTGCACACAGCGGTAACAAAGAGCATGAAGAAGCAAAGATTACCTCAGAGAGTCCTGTCTCTAGCCAACTGGGCATCCGAAGGATGGGGGATCTCATCAGGAAGGGGCTGAAGCTGGGGGAAACAGGGAGCAGCTCTGACTCCTGCAGGTGCTCCCCGAAAATCTGGTCAAAGATACGACTCGGTGCCAACCAAGAAAAGAAGGGTCTGCGGATCAGGGGGTTATGAATGGTGATATCCATTGGAGAGCGCTGGAGGAGCCTGGCAAACAACTGTGCTGCAGTGCCGTGCTGGGAGCCTGGGACAGCTTTATACCCGTGCAGCTGGCCTGGCCTTCCACCCCCCCGAGGCCTCTTGAACAGTGGTGTCAGGGATTTTATTGTCCCACTCCTGGGCCGGTCCCCTCGGCGGTGCCCAGTAGCTGTCTGAGGGATTTGAACGCGCTGCTGAGGAGGAGGGGGAAGGGGAGAAGAAGAGAAGGAGCCCAATGGGGCAGCAAGAAGCCAAAGTGGCCGGCCCGCCCCGCTCCCCACGTGCTGTTTATCTGCAGAGTCCCAGGCGGGCTTGGCGGATGTTCCCAGCTGCTTCGGATGCCAACGGGATCAATGCAGCTCCTATCTTTGGCTCCCAGGGAACGCGACAAGGGGCTGTTGTTCCCGCTGCCAGCGCCCAGAGCTCAGCTCCCCACATCACCCACCAGCCCTGGGGAGGGCTCTGCCCCTGCCCACGGCAAAGGGAGTCACAGAGCCGGGGGGCAGGGAAGGTCCCAGTGGGTCTTTGCTGGGATCCCCCTGGCACCGCAGCCCAGGAAGGCCCCACAGCTGCCTTTGTGCCCGGTGGTGTGTGTGAATGGAAGGGGGATTTCTCCACCATTCAGCCCAACACAGAAACTACTGGAGAGCCCAACACTGTGACCTCAGAGCCCCAGAGGGCCGGAGCAGAGATCACCTGGGCGTGCTCACGGTGCCTCCTCAGGGATTTGAGCCACCTCTGTCTGCCTGTGCCCCTGCACTAAGCTCATTTTCTATAGTTGTGCTCCTAATACATCTTAACTCACACATTTATTTTAATTCCTGACTCGCCTGTGAGCCTCAATCACAGGAATGGGTTCAGCCTGGCAACTGTACTTAAAGGGCAAGAACTAGTCTCTGCCTCTGAGAGCTCGTAACTTAAACACAATTTCTGGCTCAGGGGCACATCATTCTTACTGCCAGCACTGCCAGCCCTTTGCAGAAGGCTCTGAGCCTCTTCCTCTCAGCTTGTCTGCAAGAATAGGGAGCAGAATTTGCTCTGTGCAGCAGCTCAGGCCATAAATACCCTCTCCAGCTCCCCATTACATCAACAGCACTGCACCTGCTCCCTCACACTGCAGGGACACGGGCTCAGGGAAATCTCTGGTTTCAGGGTACGTGGAGCTCAGCTGGGCTCTGCTCCCCTCCTGCACCACCAGCAGCCCCCAACCCTGCTCAATGGGACTGGGTCTGTGCCAGCTTCACCCCTCGGTTAACTCTTGATCCCTGGCACAGGGATTTCTCCAGGTCTCAGTGTGCTGTGCCAAAGCCCTGGCCAAGGGAACAGCCTGGACAGCCAGCTTGGAGCAGCACAGTCCAGGGTGGGGAGGTGTCAGTAGTGGGATCTGGATCCTGTCTAGTCCAGCTTAACTACCTGCAGCACTTCACCACTCAAAGGAGCTCAGCCTCTGCAAAAATCAGGTTTATTGTGCAGGGCACGGGAGGGGCTGATCTGGCCCTGAGCTCCTGGTGGGGCAGTGGGTGTGACAGGGACTTCATTGCACAGCCTGAACACTCACCAGCCAGCATTAGCTACTGCCCCGTCCCCAGGAGGGGCTTCAGGGCCATCAGCACCATCAGTACCATCCACACCAGTGCCAGGGGCCCCCTGGACCTGCTGACTGGCCTTGGAGCACCACCAGCAGCACAGCCCGGGCTCTGTCCTGCTTTTCCCCACTTCAGCCTCCCTCAGCTCATCCCTGTGCCTCCCGGCTGCCCATTCCCCTCCTGCACCCCCTGCTCCAGAAGGGGCTCTCCGGGGCTGGGAGGCCGTGTGGGATGTTCCCAAGGTGTCCGTGACTGCGGGCAGTGCCTGCCCTCCCTGCTGGAATGCGGCGAGAAGCTTCTCCCGTCACCCTGGCGAGGCATCCTGGGCCCTGTGCGCGGGGCTATTTTGGTCCATCTTTTTATCACACACTCCTCCCTTTGGAATTCACCCAATTAAAACCTTGCAATCTGCAGCCTTCACTCTCAGAGGCAGCGAGGGCTCGGCAGGTCCCTGTCCCCTGTCCCCAGCCCTGCCATGGCCGCACGGACCGTCCCCCACGCCCACCCCATGAGCTCTGAGTATGAGTTCGCCAACCCCAGCAAGATCTACGACCAGAACTTTGGAGAAGGTAAGGAAGGAGGTGGGATCCCCCCCTGGCACCTCTCTCTGCCCCGCTGCAGGAAGGCTGTGGTGGAGCTCCCCCAGGCAGATTGACCTCCAGAGCAAGCTAAGGGAGCTGGAGCCAGGGAATTCAGAGGGTAGGAACACAGGTCAAACCAGGGGGATAGCCAGGGTCTCTCTCTTCATGTCCACTTCCTCCATCCATGCCCACTGCTGTCTGTGCTGTCCCTCCCTCATGCCACCCATGCTCTGGCATTCATGCACATGCTGTGAAAACATGGAGCGAAACGCTCAGGGGAGGGGGGGGGAAGTTTTTTCAGCCAGGGGATGTGGAGAAAAGCTGAGCTGGGGTGTTCAGCACAAAGCTGGGCAGTGGCTGGCGGAGGGGAAGGAATGTGGGCAGCAGCAGAACCATTCAGCTCCAGCACAACAGCGTGAAAAGGCAAAAAGCTCCAAGGAAAGCCCCCCGGACAATGGCACACAAAAGGCCTTTAGTTCTTCAGGGCAGTTTCTTCACCATCAGCATTTTCCATGCCCATCCCTGGCTGTGGGCTCTGCACTGCAGAGCGCCCAGTGCACCTCCCAGTCCCTCCCAGTCCACCCAACAGACATGTGAAGCTGGATGCCAGCCCTGGGCTCGCTGGCTGGCTCGCTGGGCTGTGTGGTGGGAGGCAGTGGCTGGCAGGCTCTGTGTGTGTCTGTGTGTGTGTTTTAGAGACACAAAGGTAGGAACTGCAAGAGGCTCCACCCATCCTGTGCTGATGTGGTGGCAAACCCCAGGTGTGTGCCAGGTCCCAGCCTCCTCCTGCCACCCTCCCCTGGCTGCTGCCAAGCATCCTCCTCCAGCTCCTCCCTCGGGAACCGCACGCTCCTCACTGAGTCTCCTTTCCAGGTGTGTCTCCATCCGAGATTTTAGCCCCTGCCCTGTACCACGGCTACTACATCAGGCCTCGGATCAACAAGCAGCTGGAGCGGGGCACCTCCGAGATCTGCCTGAACGAGCACAAATTCCAGGTGTTCCTGGACGTCTGCCAGTTCCTGCCCGACGAGCTCAGCGTCCGCACCGTGGACAACCTGCTGGAGGTGGTGGGCCAGCACCCCCAGAAGGCTGATCGCCACGGCTTCATCTCCAGGGAGTTCACCAGGACCTACATCCTCCCTCTGGACGTCGACCCCTTGCTGGTGAGGGCCACCCTGTCCCACGATGGCATCCTGAGCATCGTGGCTCCCCGCACCGGCAAGGAGCTGAAGGCCAAAGTCAACGAGGTGAAGATAACGCAGGAGGAGCAGCCAGGGGGGAAAGAGGAGCAGCCCGAGGAAGGAAAAGAGAAGGAGAAGTCCTAAAGGCCCCAGATGTGGGCTTGCACTGGGAAGGTGGGGGGGACAGGGATGGGGAACCCACGGTGACAGACTCGTGTTTCTCACCATCAGTGTTTAGCAGGGCTCTGAGGCAGCCAGACTGCTGCTTCCCAAGGCTGATGGCTGGAAAAAAAAGGGACTTGGAGCTGAAAACAGAGGGGGACTGAAGTGCTAGTGTGAGGGAGTGAGTGTCATGCAAGTTTTCTCCTAGGTCAAGTGCTCACGGAGCACCAGGCAGGGTGCTCTTCTCTCACCCCAAAAGACCAGGGCCACTCTTACCCCAAACTGTGAGGCTGTGCCACAGTGGACTGTCAAACAGCTGCTGTGCTCTGGCCCAGGAGGGAAGAGGGAAGAGATGATCCCAGTGCCTTGCCTCTGAGCTGGTGGCTGAGCTTTGTGGACACGGGAGGTGGTTGTTGGTCTGTAAAAGTGCCTGCAGTTCTCAGGAGGGAGGAGGAATAAACCTGCCTCTGGTCTTCTCTTGCTTGCCTTGGGCTCCTGTTGCTTCTGGCCTGCAGCAGGAAGGATGGACAGTGCCTCAGCTGCGAGGAGCAGAGCAGCAGAGTGGAAATGGCATTTCCCTGTGGAAATGGCATCAGTGATGACATGGAGGGACTGTGGGGCACCCAGGGGCACCTCTGAGATTCACCTCCTGGCTCGGGGGCAGCTGCAGTGTCTGTTGTGGGGAGCCCTCAGTGGAGCAGCCTCAAGGACAGAAGGGGCAGAGAGTGATGAGCTCCTGGAGGGTCCCTGTGCACCCCCAGACCCGCAGGAGGGATTAGCCCAGGTAAACTAATGCCGTGGGCTCTGTTTGCCCTCAGCCATCTGGTTCATGGGGCACCAGGCTCATTCACACACCGACCTTCTCAGCCCCTGGGAGGGGAGTGAACCCCGAAATGCTGCAGGGAAAGGCTCAGCTCAGATTCCTGCAGCCCCAGAGGGGATGGCTTTGGCCCCTTTGCAGGTGGTGTGGTGTCACTGACTGGCTGCATGAGAAATGTCCCCGTGGCCTCGTGATGCTGGGCTGTCGGGGCAGCTGCTGCCCCGGGCGGCCCCAAGGGCTCAGCAGTTGCCAGCTGCAGCCCTTGTCTCGTCAGAGCCAAGTAAAGCAGGCAAAATGCTGTGTCAGTGCCTAAATATGGGGGTCCCCGACGTGCCTCAGGGCAGCTCTCCCTCAGACACCCATGGGGATAAAACTTCTCCCTCTCCCCGCTGGGATGTGCCCTGCAGGACTCTGCCCTCTCTCTCCATGGGTACCTGGGGGCAGAAAAGCCCTGCCCAGCATTCTGTCCCAGGCAGCACATCCCCTCTGCTGCTGGAACACTGGCATGAGGCTGCTCTTTGGGTCCTGCCAGGCACGGTGGGGTCCAGAGCCCAGCAAACCCCTGCACAGCTATTTTCTGCTCCCCAGGGCCCCTGGCAGCAGGGAGGATCAGAGGCAGATTAAGAGCAGCCCTGTCTGCCAGCTCAGAACCCAGTGGGAGGGTGGCTGAGCCTCCAGCCCCGGTGCGGACCAGGTACCACACTCAGTCTGGACCCCTGGGGATGCCCTTACTCGGGAATTAGAAGCAGACAAGCTGCTGCCAGCGAGACACTGTCAAAATAGAAATGTAACAGGCGCTGTCTAAGTCCTTAATAATAACTCCAGAGATAATTCTGGGCTGGTGACTTTCAATCACCTGGAGCAGCTGCATCCCAATCACCCAACACCCACCCAAACCCCAAGTCCAAGGAGGGCTGAGTTCCTGAGCCCAAATCCCTGTGGGGAGGGCAGGAACCTGTGTCTGTGTGTGGGCTCAGGCAGGACCATGATTTCCTTAGTCCCCCCCTCATAAAATGTGTCTTCAAACTCACAGGCACTCCAGGGCAGCAGCTACAAAAGGCTTTTCTTTGCCTCTGACCTGGCACCTCCTGTGCTGGTAAGAAAGGCTGGTGGTCCCCTCTCTCACTGCACATTTTCTGTCACTGGGATAATCTTCCTTCCCGGGAGTGAGGATAGGGAGGATGGCCAACACATGACCCTCGGGCTGGGCAAAGGAGGGCACATCACACACAGGGCACACTCCAGAGCATGAGATGCTGCCCGGGCAGCACGAGGGCTGCAGGTTGCTGGAGCACTGGGGGCTGAGAACAGGAGCTGGCCAGGGCTGGGGCTGCACTGGGAGTGCCCTTGGGCACCATTGCCATAGAAATGCCCAGCCTTAGCAGTCACCACACAGTTCTCTTCCCCCCTCCAGCTTTTCCTCGCCCTGTCTTTGCTCTGCCACGAGTTCATTCTCCTCTGCTGGGCCCTTGCAGGCTCGCCCTGTGCCAGTCTGACAGCCTGTCACCCAGACAGGGCTGCAGAGAGAGGGGCTGGCACTGCCTGGTGTCAGCCAGGGCTGCTCCTCTGCCCCCTGGCAGGCTCTGCTCCACGCAGCCTGCTGGCTTTGCCCAGCAGGATTGCTGGAAGCCATGCTTTCTTTCATCCCTGCAGACACAGCCTGAGGAGGGAATGCAGAGTGGCAGCCAAGCGCTCCCCGGCCCTGCCAATGTTTTTGATGCCTTTCTGTTTCTCTGGTGGAGCTCAAAGCAGCAGCTCCAGTATTTGTGAAAGAGGCTGATGGGAACAGGCTCCCGGCCCTTTTTTTTTCTTCCTTCCCCACAAAGCAACAAAGCCCAAGTTATCCCAGAAATCAAAACAGCCACTGGTTCACTAAAACAACAGTGTCTGTGGCAAAGCCAGGGACACACAGTCTGCAGCTTCCCAGGCAGGGACAGGCTCCTGAGACCACCTGGTCTTTGCAGGACCCTGAGAACACAGTCCTGTTGGCATCAGGGCTGAATCCCAGCTGCCTGCACAAGTCCTAAGTCCTCCCTGGGGTGCTGTGGTGCAGACTGGGCTGTGCCATCTCTCCAGGCACGTGATGAGGAGCAGTGTCAGAGCAAGGCTTGGGCTCTGCAGGTCACAGTGCAGCTCACCCAGGGCTCAGCCCAGAGAGCAGCTGTGCCCTGTGGCCCTTCCAAAGCACGATCCTTCTCCTCTTGCCACTCCTGGACAGGCACAGGGTTTGCTCTGCACTTGGGCGGGTGATAAATGATGCTGTGAGCCTGGCTGAGAGCATGGGCACACCTGGAGGAGGGGACTGGGGCCAGTTTCTGGCACAGCCCACCAGAAGGGTGAATTAAAACTCACCCCCTCGTCAGGATACCCCATGAGGGACTCAGAGCTGCACAGAACTGGGTCTGTGCCAAATCACAGCTGTGGGGCACAGGTTCTGCTCAAGAATAATATTCACATGGTGTCTTTGGATATTGAGCATCACTTCTCCTAGTGCTGCCTGAGATTGGGTACCAGGATTAGCCCAGGAATGACCAGCCAGAGTCTGAAGGGCCCTCAAAGGAGTAGAGGGATAAAATACACGTTCATGTTCCTGTTTGCCTTGCTGAGGGTGAGCCTGAGAGCTGTACTGCAGGCCCTTAATGACGTGAGGTGCCTCACGGGATCCTGTCCTTCCCAAAAACACAACACTGCACACTTTCACCCAGGCAGCTGTAAAAAGAGTGGATTTCCACCAATGTCCCTGGGGTTGCAGGTCAGGAGATGAAAGCAGACCTGCCAGCCCCCTCTAACTGGGCATCACGTGCCTTCCCAAGCAGATTCCCTCTTTCCCAGGTGATGCCAGCCCGTGCCACGCATTTTTCTGACATCCTGCTCGCGTATCGGGGATGGGCAGCAGGAACAGCACTGAGGGCTCCCACTCTGGGGCTTCTCCTTTTGTTCGGGAACATTTGAAGTCCCTCCTCCGTCCCCTTTTGCATCACTGCTGGCATCAGCGGGATGGCGCCGGGGGCAGAGAGGGACAGCGGCGGGACGGCCACCGCCAGAACCAGAAAACAGAGTTTTAGCCCCGGGGGTGAAGCCCTGGGGACACGCGGGGCTTTTCCCCCTCCTCCCTGGGTGAGCAAAGGGGCGATCCGGGCCCCGGGGGCCACCCCCGGCAGATGCCACACGGGGCCAGCACAGCCCCGCGCAGCCCGTGGAGAGAAACCCGACACTGCCAGACACTCCCTTGGAATAGCCAGGGGCCGAGCAGGAACCAGGAAATACAAGCTCTCCCTGTCCAGAGAACGCTCCAGCTCCATGGGGGAAGGAGCGACATGGGCAACCTGTGCAGCTGCGGCCGCCCGGGGTGAGTCCGGCGCGGGCAGGGGCGCGGAGGGCACGAGAGGCTCCGGCGCTTCGGGAGGGCTTTGGAAGCTTTGCGTCCTTTCCAAGGCTCCCCCCTGGCTCCCAGCCCCGCTCCCGGTCAGCTCACACCGACCAGGGAGGGGGTCACGGCTGGGGGGGTGCAGCGGGGGGCGCAGGGGCAGGAGGGGAGGGGGGACGAGGGGCTTTGCTGTCGCATCTCTCAGCCCCGACGGGCTGTGCCACCTCCCCGCAGTGCCAGCTTGGGCTCCAGCGGCTGGGAAGGAGCTGCTTCAAACCCCTGTCCTCGACCCTCCGGGCCAGGGAGACACCACAAGGTGTCCCTTTGTCGCGCTGCTGGGAGGGGTCCTGGCGTTCAGCCACCCCCTCCTGCTCTCAGCTATTCCAGCCCCTCTGTCCGGGCTTTATTTACGCTCGGGAAATCCTGGCCAGGTTTGGGAGATGCTGTCGCTGTTTCTCCCTGGGAGGGAGGGAGAGAAGGTGACTCTTTAATCCCTCCTGGGTCGCGCCCCGGACCTCCCGCTTGCAGAGAAAGGGCACAGTGGAGCATCACTGGGTGCCAAGCGGAAATATTTTCGGCTCTGAGCGTGGAACAAGGGGAAGAGCCATGAATATCTATCTGAATGAAGCTCCGAGGACGTTCTCTCCAACACCGCGTTTGTTAAAAGTATGAGGAATTCGTCCGCGGTTTTTAATAATTCCAAGCGGCACAGCATCACCTAGTGGAGGAAGGTTCGGGACGCCGAGGTCCTGCCAACCTGAGCCCCGAGCTGGAGGGCAGAGGAGTTTGGGATTTAGGAATAGGAGCTGGAGGTGGGGGGTGGAAGGCTGGGTCTTGATGTGTCACCCACCAAAACTCCCATTTTATTTCCCCTACCCTGTGTTGGAGGGTTAATGAGGTACCCAGGGCATCGGTGAACAAAGGGCCTGATCAGGGGCTGCCTGAGGCACAGTCTGAGGTGTTTAAAGGAAAGCTATTACAGCAAATTTATTCACAGAAGAGAGTTATTGATGAATATGCCCTCGGGCCTGGGTGCCTCTGCAATCATGACCATGGGCAGGGCAGGCCCCAGGTTGTTCTCACCACTCAGGGCACTAAAGTGTGAACAAACAGGAAAATATGCCCAAATTCAGGATTATGTAGGACCAAAATCAGGATGGCACTGACATGGGAAAAGGGGAAGCAGCAGTGTGGGAGCAGGGATGTGTGTGCTGTCATGGAGAATAGGATGTGCTCCTCTCAGCCTGGGAGTTACAACATGTTTGACCTGGTTCTGAGAAGAGGGGAGAGGTT